GCAAGGGCAGGCGGGGCAGGTGCCCCTGAGCTTCCTGCTCGGGGCGCCCTGGTTCTCGAGGTCCTAGAGTCTTAGGTGCCCTTCCCAGACTGCCTCCGAGAACTGTTGGAGAGACTTCCTGTGTTCCAGCAGCACAGCCTGGGTGGGAAGTCAAACCCGGGAATTTGCATGGATGCTTTAGGTGCACCGGGTTCAAAGAAAGTGCAGGCTTTTGTTGCCAGTCCCTTCGGGGGCCTTTCCGCTCCCTGAGCGAGTCCCCATGACCGGAGACAGGGAGCAGGGCTGCCCCACAGTGCTGGGGTGACTGCAGCTGGCAGGACCCCACTTCCCCAGGGCTGGGGCACAGGAGGAAATGGGAGACGCTGTCCCACAGGAGGTGGGAGCCTGGGAGGGCAGAGGCCCCAACAGGAGGACTTTGTGGACCCAAGAGATGTGACAGGGGAGGGGGAGGCAGGGGTCAAGGAGGCTTGAAGTCAGGCCATTGGGGCCCTGTAATACCAAGGGGCATGAGTAGGAGGAAGGAGGACAGGGTGGCCAGGGACCTCAGGGAGGACTTGGTGGGGGATCTGGCCCATGGCCGGGCTTTGGTGGCATGCTGCGGAGGGTGGCAGGAGGACAGAGGGCTCTACTTGGTGCGCCTAGGACCAAACCCCTGCTGCCCAGTCCCTTCCGACTCCCAGCCACCCCGTGGGGACAGAGTGACAGGCTTACCAGTCTGTCTTCGACAGGAAAGACTGTCAAGACAATGTCCCTCTCGTGGAGCGGATGCCGGCTTTGAACCCAAGCTGTCTGTAAGCAACTGCATGCTTAATTAACCACGGTGCCCCCAGGACCCGCACCTAATGGGAGATCCAGCAGGCCTCAGACGCAGGGCTGAGGGGGCTCAGGCTGAACCTGGGGGCCGTGGGGGGCCGAGGGAAGCTACAGAGCAGAGGGAGGTGATGTAGTTGGATGGGACTCTGGGCCCCAAGCCTCTGTGAGGATGTGTGTTGTGTGTCCCCACAGCCCACCTCACCGCCAGCCCTGGGCACTATCTGCCCTGTGCTGCGGTCACTGCTGTGTGGCCGTGTCAGGCACGCCTGCCGGCTGCACACAAATCGAGTGTGAAGTGCAGCTCCTTCCGCACTTCTGCCCCCGTGCCACTGCTCCTGAGTCTCGGTGCCGAGTCTGGGTGTGGCCTGTAGGTTCTGCTCCTTCTAAGGGGCCCAGTAGCCCCAAAGCCTGGCCCCCCCCAGATAGACATGCATCTGTTACATGTGCTAATACACATTACGGACACACCTGTACAATGATAGCTATAAGGTATACCTGTTATCTCTGTTTTTGCTGTTCTTGTTCGGTCTTTTGGTCTATATGTTTCTTCATCAATGGCTTGGGAGCCCTTTTTAATTTTCTTTCTTAAACCGCTCCACTGCCTGCTATGGGCCAGTTCTGACTCACAGCAACCCGACAGGACAGAGCAGAACTGCCCCTGGGGGATTCCCAGGCTGTCACTGTTTATGGGAGCAGCCAGCCTCATTGTTCTCCCGAGAGGTGGCTGGTGAGTTTGAACTGCTGACCTTGTGATTAGCAACCTGGTATGTAACCCGCTACACGGCTGGCCTCCTCCTTTCTCAATTACTGTGGCTAAATGGCTCCCAGGAGGAGCGGGCTCTGTCCTCGTCACAATCACGTGGTGGGCTACATGTTGTTGTCATCAGGTGGACTCGCACTCCCATCGATCCTGTGCACAGAACGAAGCCCCCGTCCTCCCAAGGGTTCTATGTTTGAGCCCAACGCGGTAGTTGTGTTGTCCATCCATCCCCTCAGGGCCTTCCTCGATTTGGCTGACCCTCCACTGTACCAAGCACGATGCTCTTCTCCAGGGACCGGTCTCTGCTGGTAGAACATGCCCCACGCCTGTGAGGGAAAGCCTCGCCATCCTGACTTCTAAGGGGCATTCTGGCCGCACTTCTCCCGAGAGACAGCTGGTTGTTCCCTTGGCAGTCCGTGGTCTTCACTGCCCGTCCTTCTTCTGCAGTCCTCCTTAGTCAGTGCCCAACTTCCACAGGCAGATGAGGCAACGGACAGGACCATGGCGTGGGGCAGGTGCACTTTAGCCCGCAAAAATGACATCCTGGCTTTTCAACGCTCTTAAAGAGGTCTGGTGCAGCACATTGCCCCAGTGCAGTGCACCCTTCGCTCTCTTGACTGCTGCTTCCACCGGCACTGCTTGTGGACCCAAAGCAAGAGGAAATCCTTGACAGACGTCCGTCTTTTCTCCTGTGATCGTGATGGTCCCCACTGGTCCACTGTGAGCTTCCTGTAGCGACATCATGATCTGTTTATGATAGAGAACATTGTCACACACACCCCGCCCAGGTCATAAAGTAATTCTATTGATAGTGTCATTGATGAAGCCAGTGGTTTAGAGTTTAACACATTGTTGAGGAAAGGAAATTATACAAGCATAAGCCTGCTTCGGACACAACGCGTGGATTGTTGACTTGTACAGATTCAACGCCTGAATGACCGGACACCAGGTACACAAACAGCGGGCTTGGTGATGGACAGAACTCACCATAACACTCCGACACAGAGACGGAGCCGTGCCTGCCAGACTAAAGCGTGTCATAGGAAAGCAGAGCATTAAAATGCTACCGACTGAAATACACATACATCATATATTTACATATATACATATATATGTGCGTGGCGGTTACATAATCCGTCAACTTGTGGAGGGGTAGAGTTTAGCCTGACAATCAGGTTGCAGCTTGACGACCTCATTTGGAGACGCTAAGGAGATAAATGGCTCCCTGGAGGCCAGAGACACTCTCTCTGGTTGGTCTTCCTGCTGACAAGACACATGGACCTACACTGATGGAACCAGAGCCCTGGAGCAGGAGGAGCCACACAGAGACCTGCGCCAGCCCTGAGATTCTTCCACCGCCACTGGATCCACAAAGACTTTCCACCCACTGGCCTGTGGTCTTCCTGCATTCGGCGTCATTGCATGTGTTGTGTGAATCTGGAGAGGAATTTATAGACTGGCATCGGACCTATGGGCTAATACTGGATTTATGGACTTGAACTGGACTGGGCTGGGATGTTTTCTTAATATACAGTTATTCTTTATACAAAGCTCTTTCTTATACACTTTAGAAGCAGGGATGGCGAGACTTCGTCTCATGTATTTTGAACACTTTGTCAGGAGAAGGCCAGTCCCTGGCCAAGGACATCGTGCTTGCAAAGCAGAGGGGCAGTGAGAGAGAGGAAGCACCCCTCCCCCCAAAAAAAAACACCTGAACAATTGTGAGGATGGCACAGGACCGGCGCGATCTGTTATGTTCTGAGTGTGAGGTTGCTGGACGGGTTGGAACCAGCTTGAAGGCACGTGACAACAACAGTCCGGTTTTTAAGACTTCAGGGGAGCTTTCTAGCCCAGGTTTTCAGGCTGAGGCCATGGGCCACACCCCCTCCCTCCTCCTCCCTGCCTGACTCATATGAGTCAGATCTGAATTTGCTTCTCTAGCCCACCCGGACTCACACAAAGCCCTTGCTGATGCAGATCAAGGACCGCAGCCTTCAGGATGGATTACAACTCCGAGTGAAGCACACCCCAGTCCTCATCACTGGACCCGTAGGTGACATCGTGATCAATGGAGATCTGCCGCACAAGGGCCTGGTACAGAGTAAGGATGTCATTTTGAGGACTGAGGTGCATGAGTCACGAACGTTTGCAACACAAGACCTTTCTTCAGTAGCTTCTTCCTCATTAGAAGGCGAGTCGGGCAGGGAGGAGGAGGAGGGGGTGTGGCCCATGGCCTCAGCCTGAAAGCCTGGGCTAGAAAGCTCCCCTGAAGTCTTAAAAACCGGACTGTTGTTGTCACGTGCCTTCAAGCTGGTTCCGACCCGTCCAGCAACCTCACACTCAGAACAGAACAGATCGCGCCGGTCCTGTGCCATCCTCACAATTGTTCAGGTGTTTTTTTTTTTGGGGAGGGGTCTTCGTTTAAATTTTGTTTGTCAGTGCTTTTTTTGTTGTGGGCTT